TCCTTTATTTTTTCCCCTCTCCCTTTTCAACCTTACTTTTAAAATTTCATTTTGATTCTTCCCCACCTTCATCCCCACAACTCCTGCCGGAGGCTCTGCAGGGGAGTCCTGGTGCAAATTTTGTGCTCCCTGTTTTTCCATATCTCATCTCTTGAGTGCTGAGAACTTCAGCCATTTAGGGCTTTTTATTTTATTGTCTTTTATTATTTAAATGTCTGGGCAGCAAGCAGGGCTGGGAAAGCTGGGAGCCTGTGGAGAGGGATGTGAATTACAACATGCAGAGATAAGGTGATAGAACCCAGAGAAACAGCCAAAGCTGTGGCAGCTTAAAGAGTGCACCATGGCTGTGCCTCTGCTCCAGCTCCAAGCTCTGGGAATCTCCTGCATCCCCTCCATGCCTTCAGCAGCCCCATCAGAGCCCTACAAGAGTGGGGTGAGGAGCAGAGAGAGCCTGGGAGCGAGGAGGATGCTGGAGCAGCTCCCCAGCTTGGGAACAGCATCCATGGGGAGCTCTGGGTTCCCACCAGCCCTTCCCAGAGCAGGCTGGAGGCCGGTGACGTGCTGGCCTGTCCCCTCTGGGACTTCACCCCTGCACCACTTCCTGCAGGCCGGGAATGTGACGTGTAAACAAAGTGGGGAGGCTGGTGCCGGGCTGGGATCCCACGCTCTGTGTGCCCCAGGGCCAGCCCTGGCCCCAGGGGCATCCCCGTGCCCCAAAACACCTTCCAGGGATGGGGATGGGGAGTGGGCACGGGGCTGGGGATGGGACTGGGGATGGGGGGAGCAGCTCTGGGGGGAGGAAAGCAGCCAGGAATGGGGATGGGGATGGGGACGGGGAGTGGGAATGGGGATGGGGACGGGGAGTGGGGATGGGGATGAGGATGAGGATGAGGATGAGGATGAGGATGAGGATGAGGATGAGGATGAGGATGAGGATGAGGATGAGGAGCAGCTCTGGGGAGAGGAAATCAGCCAGGAATGGGGATGGGGACGGGGATGGGGACGGGGATGAGGAGCAGCTCTGGGAGGAGGAAAGCAGCCAGGGAGGAGGAGATGCTGATCCAAGGGCCAGCAGCAGTGAGGAAGAGCTGAGGCCGTGGGAATGGCAGTGACCAGGCTCCTGTGTGCCTCTGCTCTTCCGTGGCTTCCATGACATCTTCCAGCCACCAGCCCCTGTTCTGCTGCTCCTCCCCTTCTGGGAACTCCTCACACGCAGGATCTGTAGCTGGAGGGTCTCAGCCCCTCACCACAGCACTGGCACCAGTGGGGTCTGCATGGCAGAACTGGGCACACAGGATAATGTTGAGGTGAATTTAGGTGAGGTGAATTTGGGGGGAATTTCGGCCGTTTTTGGGGATAATTTTGAGGTGAATTTGGGTGAATTTTATGGTGAATTTTTGGTGAATTTTGGCCGGTTTTGGGGATAATTTCGGGATAATTTTGAGGGGAATTTGGGTGAATTTGCCCTTCCCTGGGGTGACAAACAGGGAGGTGGCAGAGGCCTCGTTTGTCCCTGGGCTCCCTCCACCCATGCCATGCCATGGCACCACCAGCAGAGCAGAGTGTGCAGGATCCCAGCTCTGCACAAACACCAAACGAGGGGATTTCTCCCTCCCTCTGGCCCCACAAACCAGATGCTCTCTCCCCTCTGCACCCATCCCCTGCTCGCAGCCCCCCCAAACCTGCTCCTTTGTTCTTGGCATGATAATTCATCCCAGCAAAGCCCAGCGAGCAGGAGCAGCATCCCCCTGGGCCCCCTTGGCTCGTCCCCAGCAAGGGAGATGGGGGGAGATGGGGGCCGCTCGGGCTCCAAATTCTCCTTTTTGACCATAAAAGGCCAGGCACGCAGCCCCGGCAGGAGGATGGGAAAGGGAAGGCAGAGCTATTTATAGCTGAGCATCAGGACCTCAGCCTGAACTCGGGGTTAATCAGCCTGTGACCAGATTAGGATCTCCCCTGGCCCCTCCATTTTCTCATAAACCTTTGATTTAATACCAGTGCTGGCGAGGGAGAGAGGGTGGGAGGAAGGGAGAGAGGAGGCTGCTCTCCTCTGTGGTCTGTGGGGATGGGATGGGGATGCTGGGAGAGCTGGGAGGCCCCAGTGGGAAGGAGCACTGGAGGTGTTCTGCCACCAACTCGTGCTGCAGAGTGCCAGGGAGCAGCATCCCTGTGTGAGCCCTGCCTGCACAGATCCAACAGGCAGCACGACCTGCCCTGGGGTCTGCCCCTTTCATTTCTGGGGTTGAGTGAGTTCTTACAGCAAGGGCATGTTCTCCTGCATGATCCCACTCCTCAGCACCCAGGAGGGGCATCTCAGGGGGTGCTTGGGCAAGATTTACCTTGCCTGGTGCTACCTTGGTGGTGGCATCAGGGCTGCTTGGGAAGCTGATGGATTAAAACTTTTCTGGGGCAGGGATAGGGTTCTGATGGCTGGTGGAGATCAGGATTTTGGGGGCCAGGAGGAGGGGAAAGGGCGTTTGCATGGGATGGAGCATCACCCAGTGCTTTCCACCCTTCAGAGAGCAGGGAGCTGCTCACAGCAGAACCCTCCTGGCCAGGGGGCTCAGACATCCCTGAGGAGCCCCAGCCTGGCCTCGCAGGGCTGGGGAATTTCAAGGAGGAACAAATCCCAAGTGCTATTAAAAAAGGACATTTCCTGCAGCAGAGGCCTGCCTGGAGAGGGGAAAGGGCACAGTGTTGTAACCACGGGGAGGGCCGAGCTCTGACTCAGCCCAGCGCTGCTGGGAGCAGCTCGGGGTGGCCACGGAGTTCTCAGAGCACTCGCCCACTGCTCCCGTGGCATCAGCAGCAGCAGCAGGGGACACACAGGGACACGGCTTGGGACAGGAGAGGCTGGAGGTGAGCGTGGGTCGGGGTGTGGGCAATGCCAGCAGAGCTGCTGTGGCCAAGGAAGGTGCCAGGGGACCTGTCCTGTCATGCCCTGGGCACCCTCTGGGCACCCTGAATGTGGGGATGTGGTGGTGGCTGGTGGATCCCCAGTGTTGGCAGGGCCACGATCCGGCCATTTGTCATTCTGGATCCTTCCAAATCCATGTGGAATGAGAGAGATGAGCACTGGAGCTGTGGCTTTCCTGGCTCAGGGGACACTGGTGTCCCCACACATGGTGGTGGCCCGGCAGCAATGTGAGTGTGGTCACCAGTGGCATGCTGTCTTTCCTTGGGAATTTGGGAGAAAACCACGAGTGGAATCAAGGGGGACAGGGCAGGCCCAGCAGCACCGGGGTTTTGTCCCATTTTGGGGACACTGAAGGGAGGATTGGGGTGCCTGCCTGCCCTGCCACCCTCTGTCAGGCAGAGCTGGGTGAGCTGTGCAGATGTTCTGCCTCCATCCCGGCGGGATGTGCAGCCCAGCGCATTCCTCCAGATTTTCTCGGCGTTTCTTCCCCCGCCAGCACCTCCCCGGGGACGGCAGCTGAGCTCTCCCAGCCCTGCACCACGGCTCCGACAAGGCTCTGTCCTGCCTTTTCCCACCAGGGGATGGTGGCAGGGGAGGACAGGGCCAACCCAAGGCTCCCTGCACACCTGGGGAACCTGGGAGTCATTGCCAGGAGAGGAGATGTGTCCCACACCTCTGGGCTTTGGGCTCACAGGGCTTTGAGCAATGAAGAGAGGATTTTGGTGACTGTTGTAGAGTTTTTAATGTGCACAGAGCTGTTGGTATTGTTGTCCTCAGGCCCAGGGGGTGCTGAGCACCCAAAGGGGCCCCAAGCAGCTGCCCAGGACAGGACCCAAGATCTTGTGGAACTTGTGGCGCCACACTCAGCTCTTCACCGTTCTGCTCACTCCCATCCTCTGTATTTTACAGGCTCAGCTGTGGCTGTCCCTGGGCTTTTGGAGCTGCTGAACACACGAGAGGATGGTACAAACCCCGAGATGGCCACCAAGAGAGATGGGCAGAGCTGATGTGCCACCACGCTGCCACACGGGCACCACCGTGGGTCCTTTCCTGGCCACAGGCAGGGACAGGCCGTGGGTTTATTTTCTGATCCTGCCCAGTCATGGAAAGGAGGCTGGATCCAGGGACTGGATCCCAGGGGCTGGATCCCAATACAGGGATCCCAATACAGAGATCTGAAGGGACTGGATCCCGGGACTGGATCCCAGGGGCTGGATCTCAGGGGCTGGATCCCAGAGGATGGATCCTAATACAGGGATCCCAGTACAGCGATCCCAGGGCACACTGCAGTGCCGCACATCATTCCTACAGAAGGCACAGCAGCCCCTTCCTGGGGATGTGCAGGGAGCCAGACAGGCTCTGCAAAGGCAGGAGGGTCCCTGCAGCACCCCCCTTGTTTCTGGGTGCCTGTGGCTGCTGTCACACTTGGCCAGGGCTCAGGGCCATGGCTGGTACAGAGACAACCCCGTGCTGGCCAAGGCTCCCAACCCTCATTCCTGAGCAATGCCTGCTGCAATCTTGGGGCTCCACAGGGTTCTTTCCCCCACTCTTTCCCCCTAAAGAACAAGGAGCAGCAGCGAGGGGAGCCCAGGCTGTGCTGGGGTGGTTCCTGCCCCGGGTCCCAGCTGGGTGCTCGTGGCCAGGGGGGCTGGGCCGGATGCAGGGGCTCACAGCAGAGATGCAGCATCTGCTTCTCATCAGGCTGCTGGGGCTGCTGGGGCTGTGATGGATGGTCTGTTTATCAGCTTCAGCCCTGCTCAGGATGTTAGTGTTCGCCTGAGAAAGATATTTTTGGGCTCGGCCGCTCCCTCCATCCTCCCTCGCCTCCTGCTTCCCCCCGGATCTTTGCTCTCCAGGCCAGGTGGGCTGAAGCCTGGCCAGACCCAAGGGAGGAGATCCAGGGAGCTTCCCCCGGTTCTTGTCCATGGGAAGGGCTGGGCTCGGCTCTGCCAGCCTGGGAATGGATGCCAAGGTCAGCTGCAGGCTCTCCTGGGGACAAGGACAAGGGTGGGGAGTGACAGCAGCAGCTTTCACACACTCCTCATCCCCAGGGTGGGCAAGGGGCAGGGAGGGGGCACCCACAGCCCCACACTGTCCTGTTCACCCTCCTCACCCTCACCCTCCTGCCCAGCTCTCTGGGGAGATACATTTGGGATTTAGAGGCAGCCCCAACACGTACCCAGCCCCTGTCCCTATCCCTGCCTGTCCTTGCAGAGCTGGGGCCAGGCTGAGCTACCCAGCCCAGCCCTGTTCTGCCACCACACTGGGGACAAACAGAAACAACTCTGAGGATGTGGGCACACAGCTCTGGGGACAGGGGCACACAGCTCTGGAGGCTGGGGACCAGTACACAGCTCTGGGGACATGGGCACACAGCTCTGGGGACACGGGCACACAGCTCTGGAGGCTGGGGACGAGTACACAGCCCTGGGGACAGGGGCACACAGCTCTGGAGGCTGGGGACACGGGCACACAGCTCTGGGGACACGGGCACACAGCTCTGGAGGCTGGGGACACCTCTTGGCCTGCACCCAGACACAGCCTGGCCATGTTCCCACCCGTGGCCACGCAGCAAGGGGGGACGAGGACACGTCCATGTCTCCCAGCCCAAGGTGCAGTGCTGCATCTCTGGTCAATTGGGAGTCTGAGATGAAGCACTGTAGCTCGGGAAGGGAGGAACTGCTCACCCTGGGGACCCCCCCCCAGCCGCTGGGACAAGTGACACAAGGAGAGCTCAGCCCTGGCTGCTCACCCCAAAGCTCCCAGCTTAGATCCAGCAGGGATAGGAGGGTGGGGAGGTTTTGCCTTGCAGCAGAGGGACCCCTGTGTCTGCTCAGGACCCTCAGCCTGGCACTGGGCACCAGTGGGAGGGGTCCCACAGAGATGGGAGGGATGGGGGCACAGCAGGGACACGGAGGTGGCTCCCCCCATGAGCCACACGCGGAGCCTGGACAGCGGTGAGGACTGGCACAGAGCCCGGGTTGCCGTGTCCTCAGGGTCCAGTTTTCCCAGGAATCCCTTAGGCACTAGGTTGGGGATTCCTGGAAATACTGTTCTTGGGGCCACGGCTCGGCAGCCCATCCCGAGGGAGCCACAGCCTGCAGAAGAGCCAGGAATGGAGGTACAGGGCCACGGGGAGGGCTGGGAGAGGGAGGGGGAGCCCCTGGAGATCCCACAGCGGGGTGATGGATGTCCCTGTGGGTCACCACTCGCTGCCAGGGGATGTGGCTCGTGTGGCCTCACACTGCTCCTGCCCTGCTCAGGCTACCCGGGGTCAATAAAGGTCTCCACTCCCCCAGTGACTCTGTCCTGGTTCTTTGGGGCTGGGAGCAGGGTGGGAGCTGAGGGGGTGGTGCCAGCACAGTGTGGGGCAGAAAGGAGGGACAGGAACCCCCTGGGGGCTGCTGTCCCCACCGTGTCCCCCCCATTGCCAGCCCTGCTGAGCTTCTGCAGAAGGGACACTGATGTGTGACCCTGGGGGGCACTGAGGGCATCCCAGGCTGCAGCTGCCTGGGGATGGGCTGGGGGCTCTCCCTGAAGTCCCCTGGGCACTCTGCATTGATCCCTGCCTGTATTGATCCCTGTCTGCATTGATCCTTCCTGTATTGATCCCTGCCTGTATTGATCCTTCCTGCATTGATCCTTCCTGTATTGATCCCTGCCTGCATTGATCCCTGCCTGCATTGATCCTGCCTGCATTGATCCTGCCTGCATTGATCCTTCCTGCATTGATCCCTGCCTGTATTGATCCTTCCTGCATTGATCCTTCCTGCATTGATCCTTCCTGCATTGATCCCTGTCAGCATTGACCCTTCCTGCATTGATCCTTCCTGCATTGATCCCTGCCAGCATTGATCCCTGCCTGCATTGATCCTTCCTGTATTGATCCTTCCTGCATTGATCTCTGTCTGCATTGACCCTTCCTGCATTGATCCCTGCCTGCATTGATCCTTCCTGCATTGATCCCTGCCTGCACCCAGCCCCACTGCCAGCACCAGGGGTTGTGGGCAGGCACTGGACGGTTCTGGAAGAATCCCAGAACCATTTCACTTGGAAAACCCTCCCAGCCCAACCTGTGCCCCATCCCCACCTTGTCCCCAGCCCAGAGCACTCAGTCCCACCCCCAGGAATTCCTTGGGCGCTCCAGGGATGGGGACCCAAACCTCCCTGGGCAGTTCCGGTGCCTGAGCACCCTTTCCATGGAGAAATTCCTGCTGCTGTCCACCCTGAGCTCCCCTGGCGCACAGGAGGTGCAGGCCAGGCTGGGCAGGCCGGCAGGTGGCACTGCTGTCCCAATGGGAGCATCCCATTGTCCCATTATCCCATTGTCCCATTATCCCATTATCCCGTCCCATTATCCCTTCCCACCCCACACTCCCCAGTTCCCAGCATGGAGCCCCCCAGGTGACCCCACAGAGGTTCCTCCCCTGGCACAGCAGAGCTGTCCCCTTGTCCCCAGACCAGCAGCAGCTTTCTGGGGGTGATGTGGGGTTGACATCCCCCCTACAGGACCTGGAAAATCATCTGGGGACATGGAAGGAGCACACAGTGGGGTTTGGGCAAGGAGAACCCCAGGAGAAAAATCCCAAACTCAAAGGACGGCAGCGATGGGGAAAATCCTTCCTGCCCCACACGAGAAGGAAAAGTGAAAATCTCAAAGTCTCTCAGGAAATGGAAAGCTGAAATCCAACCCTGCTCCTCCCCGTGCTCCAACCACTCTGTTCAAACATTTCCCAAGCATTTGTTGGGATTTTGTTTGTTGGGGGCTTGCAGGACATGCTGGGACAGGAGTGAAAGCCTCACACACCCAAATTCAAAAAAATAAGGCACTTAGTGCAGGAAATGCCAGCTCAGAGAGCTTTGATTGTTTCCTTCTTTCTTTCCTCCTTCTTTTTTTTTTTTTTTCAGCCAGAAAATTCATCAAGGTTTCCCCTGTCCCTGAGAGAGATTTAGGGGAGAATATCAGTAATATTTTATATTAAATATTATAATAAAAGGTTTCCCCTGTCCCTGAGAGAGATTTAGGGGAGAATATCAGTAATATTTTATATTAAGTATTACAATAAAATATCAGGATATTTTGGACAATATCACTAATATTTTATATTAAATATTACGATAAAATATCAGGATATTTTGGACAATATCAAAAATATTTGACCAGAATTAACTGGAGAATTGCTGATTGCCCAGAGCTTTCCTGTGAACCAGCCCCTGCAGGGTTGTTCCAGTCTGGTTCCAGTCACCAAACCAGGGCTGGGCTTCATCTCCCAGCCAGGTGATTCCCTTGGAATTTTCCAGGTGCATTGAATGTACAACAGGCAAAGTTTTGTGTTTGGACTTAGTTGTTTATTAATTTTTATTTCTAGCACTCTGAGTTTTACAGTGTTTTTAGTTAACAAGCTAAAAGTGAAAAAATTGAGTCATATTGTGCTCCTTACAAGGACTTTTAAGGTCCAATTATTTAATTAAAAAACCAACAGTTATATTATTTATACTTTTGATCTACTGATTCAATAGTGGTGACTTGCAGTGCAGCATCTTCTATTTAACCAAAAATAGAAAGAAATAAATAGAAAAATAGAAAAAAAAAATAGGAAAAAAAGAGAAAAAAAATAGAAAAGGCACTACTTTAAAGTAAAAAAAAAAAAAAAAAAAGAAGGAACAAGAAGGGAAAAGAGCTAGTGTCTCAAAACTTCAAACTCCAAATTTTTTACCATATGATATTACACACTTAAACTACATATCAGTGATTTTAATTTTGGAAGCCTTCTCCAAGGCCTCAAGTCCAAAGCGGTGTTCCTTTGGGGGTCAGCGTTAGAAAACAGAGAAAATTCAAAACTCTCAGGCTTTAGAATTCCAACATCCAACATCCCAGGGGAATGCTGAGCCTCCCAGCACAGCTCACCTCCCCAGCTGGCCCAGGAGCTGCCAGCCCATGCCAGGGGGTGCCCAGGCAGGGTTTGCCATGCTGGGAAGGGCAGGGCAGGGAGTTGTCCTGACTCAGCCAGAAAAACTGGCACCACCTGAGAGCAGCAGCAGCTGCTGGCACCGCCCTGGGCACAAAGGAGGGAGGTGGCAGCAGTGGCAGAGCTCCCCTGATCATTCTTTGCTCCCCTGCTCATTTTTCACCTCCCTGTTCATTCTTCACCTCCCTGCTCCCCGCAGGATGAACTCCACTCTTTCCCTTCTCTCTGCAAAGCACCAGAAAGGGGAGGCCAAGCTGCCACGTTCACTTTTTTTTGGGCAATATTTTCCCTTTCCTACACTCCCCACGCTCAGGGCTCCCTGGCAATCGCTCCATGCCAGGCTCTGCAGGGCAACACTGGGATTTTAATAAAGATTTTAATAGAGGTGCTGGTGTGGCACCCACGTGCCTTGAAAGCCTTTGGTGCTCTCAAGCCACTCCCAGTTTTGCAGAAATTCAGTGGCCATAAATCCTCCTCTGTCGCCAGCACTGCCTGCTTGTGCTTCTCTGCCTTCTCTCCATCTCCTGTGTGCCCTCCAAAATTTTATCTCAGAAAAAAATTGTCCCTGAGATCTCAGAGCCATCCCCGTGCCAGGCAGGGAGGTTTGTCCCTGTGGATGCCCAGGGTGTCACGATGGTTCCCCTCTCTCCTAGAGCCCCTCAGGGCAGTGTTTGGCAAACCCCAAGGCATTGGGGAAGGGGCAAAACCTCTCCTTGCCCCAAGGGGGGCAGTGCCAGCCCCATGGTGGCCACGCTCCCCCCATGACCCACAGCCCAGAGTACCTCAGCACTTCGTCAATGGGCAGCAGCAATCGGCTTAAAAATAATCCCAGAGCGTGTCCTGCTCTGCCCCAGCTGCCAGGGGGGTCCCTGGGGGGCTGGCACTGTCCCCTGCCAGGGCATTTTAACTCAGGGGATGCTGTGGCAGCCTTGGGATGGCTCTGGCACCCACGTGTCTGTCCCTGCCAGCCCGGCGGGGCAGCTCCTTCCCTTTCCCCGAGCCCCAAGGATGGTGTGGCCGTGCCCAGGTGCCAGCCCCGAGTGCCCAGCAGGCTCAGCACTGTGGGTGTCACAGCACTGGGCACCAGGGTGGTGGGATCACCCCAGGTTAGCACCCAGGGAACGGGAAAGGCTCCTGGAGTAGGAAAAAGCAGGTTTGTTCAGCAGGGCTGGGAGCACAGCGTGCACACAGACAGACAGACAGACAGATACACACAAAAACAGACACACAGACAGATACACACAGACAGATACACACAGACACACAGACAGACAGACACAAACACACACACACAGATACACACACACACAGATACACACACACAAACACAGACAGACACACACAGATAGACACAGGCAGACACACAGACACACAGACAGACACACACACACACACATACAAACACACCAGGGCCCAGCCTCATCCCCAGGGCTTCCTCTGCTCCTCCCTGCTCTCCAAAGCCGTGCCCAAAGCCGTGCCCAGAGCTGTGCCCAAAGCCATGCCCAGAGCTGTGCCCAGATGCGTTCCCAGAGCTGTGCCAAAGCCATGTCCACGGCTGTGCCCACGGCTGTGCCCAAAGCTGTGCCCAGAGCTGTGCCCAAACCAAATCCGTGCTCTAAGCCATGCCCAAATCTGTGCCCTGAGCCATGCCCAGAGCTGTGCCCAGAGCTGTGCCCAGAGTTGTGCCCAGCCCGTCTTGAGGCCGGCACAGCCCTGCCCACTCACCCCACTCCCAAAACATCAACTCCCCCCACAGCCATGGGGAGCAGGAGCTGCCCTGGGGACACAGGCACTGCTTGGGGGGCACAGGGCACTGCCCACCACCTTCCCCTCCTTCCCTAAGCCCTGGGGTGGGATCAGGATGCTGGGGCTGGCCCTACCTTGGGAGGGGCACAGCTGGGGCACAGCTGGTGGCCCTGCTGCCCTGTCACCAGTACCCACGGGCTGTCACCAGCCAATATTGACACAAGGCTCAGCTCCACCTCGGCGCCATGGGCCTGGCTCCGGTGTTATCTCTCTCCTCAAGCCCTGGGGGAGCTGCACAAATCCTTCCACCGGGTCCTGAAGCTGCACTGACCCCACGCTGGGGCTGGGGATGAGCTCCCGTGCAGGGTAAACCGGCACAGCACCATCCAGAGCAGGGCAGTGCCGTGACCAAGGTGGTGGCACCCTGTGCCATGCGTGGTCCTGCTGCACCAGATCCTCCCTGGGCAGCTGAGAAACACGAACTGGCTGTGCCTGGACTTTGGTCCGTGCTGCTGGGAACCAGAGGCTGCAGCTGCCTCCCTCCATCCACACTCTGCATGGAAACAAGCAGGGCAAGGTAAACACGG